ATTTCATGTGAGTAATGGAGGATTTGGTTAAATTTCAAATGGGAATTCGTCGTTTATATAGTAATGGATTCGCACTGCTGATGAAACCCAACCAGGTCGAAACGGCTGTCCAGTGCTTCCGAGCTTTTCAGTTCACGCTTCATTTTCTATATACACGACGAATTCCCATTTGAAATTTAACCAAATCCTCCATTACTCACATGAAAGAATGTGTTTCCTTGAAATAAATAGCCGAATTTCACTGGAGACGTCTCTTGTGCCGAAAGCCGAAGAAACGTCAGGAACATGTATGAGACAGGTTTATCCTCCCCTATTCAATATCCCATGGGTACCTTGCTGGGTTTGATACTCCAAGTTGGATGGTCTGAATTATCATGAGTGAAAATTAGGTCTTATTTACTGTGCGGTCCATCCTTTCAGCTGTTCATCATACAATGACGTACAACACGAAAGACACAACGCGTGTTTTGTTTTAAAGTGGCATTTATTGTTGTACATTGTTAATTTTCTGTCTCTTTTTGATCAGATCTGGCTGGTTGGTGAAAAAGCCAAAGACGTGGTATTTCATTTCTGTGATGTTTGCGATCTGCCTGTGGTGATTTACGGGCGCTTGGTAAGTCTCAATCCAGACCAGAATTAAACAGCCTACCACGTTTTTCCAGCTTCCATGTAAACATGTGCTCTGCTTCAACTGTGCTGCCAAACTTCCGAACAAATGTAATCGGTAAGTATTTCAAAAAAGCAAGCCACAATCGTTCCATGTGATTTTTTCATTGTTTTTTGATTATTTTCGGAAAAATATTCCTCACCACTTTCAACTTCTACAACGCTAATTGTCAGTCTTCTCTTTCAGCTTTCGTTTTTCACTTTCAATAAAATCCCAGCCTCCAGTGACGAACTTTTGGGGCGGTGGTGGTGGTCAAGATGCTTATGGTGCCGACGTTTGCTGACTCCAGGACTTAAAGTCCGAGGTTGAGACTCCGTCACTGCCTCCGAAAGTTGGTATTCGGGACCTTAGGTGTTATCAGTCCTCTTTAGGAATCTTGTCCGGTCCATCATCTTGAATCCGTAGTTTCCGTATTTTACAACCACAAATGATGTAGCTTTGTGCAGCGGTTTTGGTTGCTGTTTTTAGACTGAGCAAAGTCAAAGAGAAGATGAAGAATTCTCGTAGACTAAGGTTGCAAGAATACTGAGTTGATACACTAGCGCCACTGTTTGCAACACTCAACCACCGGTTACTATGATCTTGAGGTCCCCATCCAGGGAGCCTAACGCGACCTAGATGACGGAGTTTCCTGGTCAGGGGTTTCGTACTCATGGCAGATCTTAGCTTGACCGCCCTTGATTTTTCCCATCCAAAGCTTAAACCGCATGTTTCTACAGCTGAGCAGTAGGTTTTCATAAGAGTGCTGTTTGTCAAACTAAGATATATGATAATTTTTGTAAACATTCTAAGATTAGATTCTTGGAGAAACAGTCACAAATAGATCTTCCATCACTAGAAATGATCAGTTGAATGTTTGCGACAGTATGCCATTTCTAATCAATTCACTTTTCAACTCACAATTAGGTGCATTGGGAGATGTTTCCGGAATTCCTCATTTGTTTTTATTTGTATAGATTTAATATTTTTTAAATAGTATAAGAGCAATACGGTTGGTTGGAATTCTACAAGCGTTTTTAGAGTGGCCTGTATCCATTTTTTATGAATTCCTTCCACGGAACATTTTTGATGAATGAAATAGAAATCATTAGGTTTATTTAACAGGAAGCAGTGCTTACACGTTTGAAGATATCACCAGTTTGTGTTTATGCTTTCCGTATGGCACTTTCCATCCTTGCTCGGACCTAGCAGATCCCGGAGCATAATCGATGATCCCCAACAATTGTGAGACGTTGGTTAGCTTCTCGTGGTTTTCTCACCTGTCTGTCACATCTGAACCAGTTGGCTGATGATCATTTCGCTTTCTTCAGAGTATTGATTGCATTTGTTTCGTTTTATTGGCAAAACCAAACCCATACCGACATCGCTGTGTTTTCAAAATTACAAATTATATAAAACATATCACATGGCGCATCGATTTTTCGATACAATCCGAACAACGTTCGGATCTGATACTCTGTTGGTTTAGGTGCTTCAAATGCTTGACTTTGTGTGTGTACGGAAAAAGAAAAGAATTCCATCTTGGAACGTGATCCCTAGTTGATTTGATTCAAGACTGCCCGATTGCGTTGTACATCCGGTATACTTTATTGGTAACTCTCCTTTCCTCCTAGGTGTAACAAAACAGTGCACACTATCGAACGTTGTCTTGTCGGTGGCATTTTTATGTGTTTCGAGAGTGACGGATGCCGTCGTACTTACCTGAGTCAACGTGACCTACAGGCGCACATTGATCACAGACACAAAGGAAGCGCCACGGCACAGGCAGCCAAAGCAAAGAGTGAAATTCAACCGACCGGTTCGGCAATTCCTTCGGTTGTTTTGTCCAAAGTTAAACTGGACGATTCCGCTCGTAATGTACCTCAATTGAAGAATCCTCATATGGCACCCCTCAAGAAGTTGCTTCCTACACCACTGTCTATGTCACAACAGTTGAAAAACTCTTCGTCGAGCAATTCTTCCGGTATCACAAGCTCTCACTCAGGGACACCATGTTTTCCTGGTACAGGTAAACCAATGGGCCTATTACCACTGCCCACACAGACAGCACCTCAGGCGACTTCGCTTGCGGGTAGTCGATTGCCTCTGGGGGTAAATCCTACCTTGCGCTTGCCCGGTTTAGGTCCGTTTTCCACATTGTCACAATTTTCCACTCCTCCTCCACCGTTGGGTGGCACACGAAACGTTCCGCCACCGGCGGTGATGAATCCATCTATTCCGCCACCGTCTATTCCCGCCCCGTCTGGACCACCTTCCGGATCTACCGGCCCACCAGTGTCATCGCTGGGATCGCAGCACCACCAC